TAAGGGGCAGGAAAGGGGACGTAGAAAGAATAAAGGTGTGTTTTACCCACGTACCAGCTTCCCATGATGATTGTGATCATGACTTTTTCCAGCACCTACTAATGTAAAAATGAAAACATCGGCCTCGGTCAGATGGAACAGGACAGGTTTAAGACTTTAGAAAAGGTGTTTTTAAAATAAACTGTCACACCTGCCTCCTCCTCTTTCTGCTGTGCTGGTCCCTCCCAGAATACACTTGCTTTGTGTCTTGTGTGGTTGTGTCCCATCTGGTATGCTCGTCCCCTGGTCACTACCCTGCTGGCCCCAGAGGAGATTAAGATGCTGAGTCAGGTGCACAGGGCGGAAGGTGTCTCCCCAAGTTTTCTGGAAGCTCTGGTAACATCCCATTGCGGTGAAACAGAAGCCTCGCACTTGACCCTGAGGCACAGTCTGACAGGAAGGTGCTGTTCTTTGTGTGGGGGGAGGGAAGGCGTGCAGGTGGGCACCAGGGCCAGACTTTGTTCCTATCTCCTGGAGATGGATCGGAGCTATAGAGTGCCATCTCAGAGTGGGGATCAGCGGTGGTCACTGCAGTTCCCAGAGTGGTCACCTTTGTTGGGGCTCCGTGTACCTGCTGACATCTGCACAAGGTGTGCAGGGCAGGTGTGTGTTCATGGCATCCATGATGGAGTCAGATTTATTTGGGGAGACTAAAGACACTTTGTGGAAATAAACTAACCCTGCTGCCTTTGATATCATGTAGCAGTAGTTGGCAGGCAGAGGGCTTGTTGCCTGCTCATGTGGCATTCATGACAGCAGTCGGGGGCACGGCTGTGCATTACCAGTTCGGGACAAAGGGTTGGAGAAATGGACCTGCGGGCAAGTAATCGCTTGTTATGTCCTCTAAGGTTTTGGTAGGAAATAAGATCTAATGACTGGGATAAGAGAGTAGATTTGAATTTAAAATGCAGGTTGAGCATTCTTAATGAGAAAGTATGAAACCTAACTAAAATCCAAAGCATCCTGAGAACCAACAACATCCTCTAAATTTATAATTTGAGAGCTTTGGGATTTTCATCATAGGGGTGCTCAACTGGCAGAGTCTATGCAGATTTCCCCAGACCTGAAAAGCTGTGGAATGTCTCTGCTCCCATGATTTCCGAGAAAGGCTGCTTAGCCAAGGTGAGGTCGATGGCACCTGCGGTTGCCGGTGAATCTTCACCCTCAGGTTTTCCTGTGTGTTTAAAGTGGTTCAGGGAAACAGCAGCAAACATGTTTGTGGAGTTCTGTCACCTGCTTGACCATGTCTGTCCCATAACCACAGTTGTGTCGCCTAGAGGCAGTGTGTCTCCTGCTGGGTGTAAAGTCACCCAGAGTCAGGTGAGAGGGCCCTTCCCAGCGGGGAGAGGAGCACCATCCCTTCCAGGTGGTGGACATCAGTCTGAAGCTGAGCCCTGGAGAGTAGAGGGCAGGGGAGGCCGGGAGTCTTCCTGACTTCAGCACTGGAGTGCAGCCCCCTAGAAGCATTACCTCGGGTGACTGAAGATATCAGAGGAAGCGGATGAGGGAGCAGGTGGGTGATTCCATCAGCAAGTGGGGGGTCAGTGAGAGCTGGGTGCTCCTCCCTGCCGGTCCAGCTCCCCAGGTTGGGGGAGGCCTTGGGCACCCTCAGGATGCTACTTCTGCAGGCACCTTGGAGGCCCCCAGGTCAGGCTCCAACTCTCCCCCTTGGTTTTGAGGAGTCTAGGTGTGAAACCAGTGTGGGAAAGATGGCCAAGCCTGGTGGAGACTGAACCCAAGCCTGGTGGATGGCACCAGGCCCAGGGCTGTCCATGTGCCCAGTGCCAAGGAGCTTCAGGGAGGCCCAGGGTGCGGAGGAAGGAGTGCATCCAGGGTTGGAACCGTGTTGTGAAGGATCCTCCGGACATGGGTGCAGGGCCCCAGCTGGGAACGGGCTAGGGGTAGGTAGATGACAGTGCAGAGACACAGCTGAGAGCTCAGGTGGCATCAGAGAGTGTGAGGTGGCAGTGGTGTTTTCAGACATTCTAAAGGAGCCGAGCAGGGGTGCGAGTGCCCTCTGGGTCCCCAACGGGCTTCTCAGCAGGTTTCCTTATTAACTCAAGCCCTGCTTATTTCCTTCATTTTCCAGACCAGTAAACGCACAGGCAGCTCAGCAGCTCACTCCAGTAGTCAGGGCAGAGAGGCGGGGCCTGGAACCCAGAGTCCAGCTCTGTGCCCACCAATTGCTTACTAGAGCAGGTTGGGCTGGAGCATCCCGTAGTCCTCCCTGCCCACTGTCTGGGGCATTGCAGCATTGGCCGTCTCCCCTTGGGGTTATCTTGGAGGCAGGTGGCTGGGGCAGAGCATTCCCTGGCGCCCAGCGGCACTCCATGAGCAGGACCAGTGCGGGCCTCTGTGGTGGAAGCAGCTCGAGCTCAGCATGTGAACCCAGTGCAGCCCGGGTACCCTGTCAGCCTGCACTGCCGACTCTGGAGCCAGGGGCATACACAAAGGTGGGGGGGTAGGACCCTGTCCACTATCCCCACACGGAGCCAGGCTACCTGCTTCAGCATGAACTCATCCTAACTAGTGACACCCACAGGGCCCCTATTTGTCAGTCACATCTGAGATGTGAGTGGGGTAGGCTACACATCTGTGCTGCCACTGGGAGGGATGGCGGTCACCCTGGAATTGTGGGCAGATACTGCATGAGGTCAGAGGTGGCCTGGATACCAGGAGCCCAGTGTTGCTGGGCATAGCCTGCTGGTTTGCTCTGTGTCAGAACCTGGAGGCCTCGTGTTGATTGCTCGAGTTTTCTTAGGAGTTTCTGGAGTGCCAAGGACATGCCTTTCTGCAGGGCTCTGCCTTGTCTCAGTTTCTCCTAACTGGGAGAGCGAGTCTGTTGCGGTGAGACATGGGCACAGGGCCTCCCATATCAGCCCCACCCCAGGAGGGACCAGAGCCCCAGCCCAGTCTTGAATGCAGGGGAACAACATGGAAAAGCTTCCCCAGCTCCCACCCCTCCCACTCATCTCCCTGGGATTAACCGGCTCTTCCAGACTAGCTCTCGGAGCAGGTGGCTTCTCATGTGGCATCACAGTGAGCGTCACCCATGTCAGGTGCCACTGCAGCTAGAAACTGGAGATTCACAGGAGAGGGATTTAAACCTCCACATACTTTCTGATGGCTTTCCTTCCCCTTGACCGTGACAAGGGTAATTCATCTGTGTCAGGGGTCAGGGTGTGAAGGCAAAGACTTTGCTGCTGCCAAGAGGAACAGACTTGCTTTTCAGGTGTTATTTTTCTTAAAAGATAGAATTCTGTTCCTTTTCCCCCCAAATAGCAAGTTTCCAGCATCTCCCTTTTTTTAAAAAGTTAATAACAAGAGCCTCATATTGGTGGCTGTCTCAGTTGGGCTTTTTCCTCTCATAAGCAGTTTTATTACGTATTAGGCCTCTCTTTTATGAAACCCTCAGCCAAACTTGTGGGCAACACTAGTGACTGCTGTCAGGGCCATCCCATGGGCTGGACACCAGTCAGAGGGCTTTGTGTTAAATTGTCACCCCTTGTCCACTGGGATGTCACTGTCATTTTCCAGTGGAGGACAGTGAGGTAGAGAGATGTGAATCGGGGGAGGCCATACAGCTGGTATGGGGCAGCACCCAGGTTCAGATCAGTCCAGAGTTGGAACTTACGGCTGTCACTCTTGTCACTTGATGGGTGTGCAGTGACAGCCCTGCAGGGAAGAGTGCCATCCCTTTTTCCACAGTTTGGTGACCTAAGGTCACCATTGGTTTCTCCTCCAGCTGAGAAGTGCAGGTCATGGGTGAACCTCAGCTGGCGTGGGTGCAATGGCCTGGCTGCCCCAGCTGCGGCCCCCAAAGTTTGTTTCCGCCTGACCCTGTTCTGTGGCATCACAGTGATGGGGGCACCAGCCCTGGAGTGAATCTGCTTTATTGGAATGCTGGAAGCTTTTCTTTGTGTTTCGTTATTTAGCAAAATGATACTCAACAAAGCAAGCATAGTTCTGTGATACTTAGATAGGCATGAGCATGCATGACTATGAGTGTGTATGTGTGTACGTGTGCAAGCCGGCCCACTCTAGCCAACCCTTCTGAAGGGCCCTGGATTCTTCTGTGGGGGTAGGGAGATCATAGCAGGTCAGCGTCTTAGGTGCTAAATTCTCAATTGTGGATCAGCAGGGCCCAGCCTATGGTGGTTGCCTCAGGAAGTTCTGGGAAACGGAGGGCCCTGTGCACAACCTTGAGGGAGCCAGAGAAGTGCTGATCTCTGGAGTTGTCATTTGGGGTCATGGCCTGCCCAGAACAGCGGGAAGGGAAAGCCAGGAGGATGCTGGGGTTGAGAATCCCTGTGGGGGTCACCTAGAGTAGACACAGCCTGCAACCCCAGCAGAATGGAGAGGAAGCCGGGGGCAGTGTCCAGGCCAGCCTGCCCACTCTCCCCCGTCTCTGTCTCCCCTCACCTAGCGTGGCCACCAACGCCGCCTCCCCAGCCACTGCAGCTCTGTCCACCTGTGCAGAGCCCCGTCCAGTAGCTGTGTCTAACACCTGTGTCATAGTCAGCATCGTCCCCTAACTGTGCGCCGTGGCCGCGGAGCCCCCATACTCATGGTGTTCTGTGTCTTCCTTTCAAGAACTGGGTTTCCCTTGAGGAGAATACAGAGCCCTTAGCTCTTCCTGAGCTGCAGACCAGGGAGCTGTGAAGCATGAACCATCTGCTTCCGTTTTTGTGATTCTCAACAAGAGCGTGACCATTTTAACGTTCTGTGTCCCTGCCAGTGAGACTTTGTGATTGCTGCGTAAAGGCTCTGTGCAAACCCCATGCCTGGTCCTGGATGCCGTGCCTTCTCAGCAGAAGTGAGCACGGGCTCTGGAGACACGTACTTCATTCAGTCTGAGCTCAGCCACCTAAGGTGTATTTTTCCACAAGCGAAGCCCATGTCTGTCTGCCCTCCACCTCCCAGTTTCCTCCACTTGTAACCAGGTGTTTTGTGTGTGGCAGGTGGCAGGTTCAAAAAGGAGATCGTGGTGGATGGACAGAGCTATCTGCTGCTGATTAGAGATGAAGGGGGCCCCCCAGAGGCACAGGTGAGTACTGCATGCTTGTCCTCCTTTCGCAGGGCTCTGCTTGAAGGAACTGTGTGAGTGCTTTCACAGAAGGGCCGTGGAAACCCGCAGAGAGCTTTGGGTTTGGCAGACTTTTTTTTTTTTTTTTTTAACCTCACTGACTAGAAATCTCTGAAAGGATGGATACCTTTTGAGCATTTTTAAGAAGAAAGGAAAAGCCAACTTGGCATGGATTGGAAACCCATTGAAATGACATCCAGAACTTGTCCTAGCTGTTCGTGTTTGTTGGTTTTTTTCCCTTGAGTTGGCCAGATCTCACCAAAAGGCAGATGATCCAGCAAGTCTGTTGTGTTGTGTTGGAATCTGATCTTCTGTCTGCTTCTGGCAGCTGGCAAGACTTGGCATCCCCGTGAGCCTGCTGGCCTTAACCCACTTCTTCTCCACTGCAAACTAGCCTGTGCCTGCTGCAGACTGGTTGCTTTGGAAATTCCTCGAAAGAGCTCGGCATGCTGGGGCATGTCCCAGCACTCTGGGAGGCTGAGGCAGGAGAGTCATAAGTTTGAGTCCTGCCTGGCAACTTAGTGAGCTCGTTTCTCAAAATAAAGCACTGGGGAGATAGCTCCGTGCAGAGGTGTAGTCCCCAGTTTGCAGAAATTAATGCAAAAAGAAAGAAATTCCTAGAACGATGGAGATTCTGAACATAAATTTGGGAAACTTTTTTATCTACTCATCCAATTTATTACTTTACGTACATCATAGTGTATTAACTACATACTTGAAAGGCTCCCCAGTGCTGGTAACAGCCTATGCAGGCTGAGTGCTACGCACTTTCTTGGTTACATGAGGATCCTGGACATAGGGCTGTTAGAGGTCTTGTGCTGTCGGCCCTGGAAGACCACACAGGTTTCCAGGAATGTCATGTTTTCACTGTTTTCCGGTAACTCCAGCATCACTGATGATAAGATGTATCGGAGTTTAAAAGGGAAAGTGTACCCGTTATATCACAGATTGTCATCAGTACCATACAGGTACAGTCCACCTGCAAGATGCCTTCGCATTGGCAGTGCAGTATACTTGATTGTAATATGAGGACGCTCCCGGGGAGAGGTTGGCGGTGCAGAGTTGGTTACTGAGCAGTTTGAGTGCCTGTCCCCTGAACTCTGGGTCAGTCAGCAAGTGGGTTTGGCTTTTGGCTGCTGTGATCCCAGAGGTACGCAGTGTTAACAAAAGCCAAGCACTTCCTCTCGGCTGGCGGAACATGGTGGCCAATACCCTGGCTGCAGGAAGGGGTCTTTGGTCCAGGCTGCTGACTGCAGCAGGTGGAGTATGGAAGTCACCTGGTTGGGGTTCCACCTCCCCCAGAACAGACGTGTTTTGGAGCAGCCAGGAACTGGCACAGTAAGAGATTTAGCCCTAGCCGGATGAGATGGGGGAGCAGGCAGACCAGCACAAGCGCCGCTTTGCAGGAGCTGTGTCTTCCGCCCTGCAGAGAGACAAACACAGGGCATGGCTCTCCCTGTGCTGGTGTAGGGGAGACGCCAGTGCTGACATGTGCCGCTGTGCCCGAGGGACGGGAAAGCTCAGCTGGGGCTTGGGGCTGCTGCGAGGCAGCTTGCTGTGCAGAGCTCACCCTGCTGTGAGTGCCGCTAGGACCCTTCTTAGACCACTTTGGGGGTGCAGGGGGTGTAGCTCAGTGACTGAGCACGCTGCTTAGCATTCATGAGGCCCTGGGTTCTACCCCCCAGCTTCAAAAAATAAAATAAAAAATATCTTAGTTGCCCCTGTCATAAAGCCCCCACTCGCTGTCTCCACAGCCCCACGTGCCCGTGGACAGAGTCCAAGTGGAAATTTCCCTCCGAGAAAGAGCTTTCCTCTCCTATCCATGGCAGCGTGCATCTCCTGCATAGCTTAAACCACCTAGGTGTGCAGTGTCATTTGATAAAGTAACATTTTCCTTCCGGTCAGTCACTCTCATTTAAGGCTATGCCGTAAGACAGGAACAGTCCAGGCCCGTGGCCTCGTTCGCTCCCCTCGGGCCTCCCTCGTGCCTTCCCCGCACCTACCTGGTGTCCCATGAAGCATGAGCTATGCCTGGGCAGTCTCACAGCACTAAGACCAACCTGCAGGCCAGTTGCATTTCCTGCCAGCTGGGAATGCCAGCACCCTGAGGTCTTGCCCCAAGGATACAAGCGATTGGGGCCCCTTCCAGTTCTGGGGAAGAGCTGGGACTTTCAGGTTTCTGTGTCATCTGAACATAACAAGACTCCGTTTCCCTGAGGAGCAGCCCCTCATTCTAGCGCCCCTCATCCTCCTTCCAATCTGGTCCCAAGCTTTTCCTAGTTTAAGACACTGAATAAGATGTCATTCTGTTCATTCTCACAGCTCTATTGTCATCCGCCTGAAGGTGAAAGCCTCGTGGCAGAAGTTCTGTGGACTCTTGGCCAGTGGACTTTTTTTTCTTCTTTCAAAACTGCAGTTTCAAAAAAAACCCTGCAGTTTCCTGATGGGGCTGCTGTTACTTTGGGGGGATACTTACTAGTTATATCCTCTAGGGGATGGGGATGTAGTGACTTGGCTCCCAGCTTCCCTGGCCGGGATGCAAGCCCTCTCCCTGTTTCTTGTAAGAGCAAGGAAAACCCCAGCAGAGACAGAAGTCCCTTGTGCTGTCGATTCTGCATCAGGATGCTTTGCCCGAGTTCTCCCTCCTCTGATTGTCCATGCGTCATCACAGCTGCAGGTGTCCAAAGTGTAGCGCAGAGTTGTTTCACGGGCACCTGAAAACCATTTTTAGTTGTGAGTGGAAGTCAGAGTATAATCAGTAAGACTTTTGTCCCTCTCTTCCCCAGCCACAAGAACTTCTAGGGACTGACACTCTTCACAGGGAAGGCAGATAGGATTTTGTTTCATTTTCACTTGGAAAGCAAGTGGTCTCTGGTGCAGATGCACACGGTGTGGGTTCTGTGTGGGCTGTGGAGAGGGCGTGGGGACTGCAGACCTGCGGGAGCCGTACTCCCCTGTCCCCGCCCTGGATGATGGTTGGTGAGACAGCAGGTGACAGAAGCCGGAGGAGGAGTGTACACAAAGCTAGAATAACAGGACCTCAGAGCACGCCCTATGAGGTCCTCTGCCAGGTAATGCTTGTTAATTTTGTGGTTGCCATAAAAATAAGAATTTCCAGAGACTTCTGATCACCCGGGCTGCCTGCTGATTGGGGGCAGCGACCATGAGGAGACACATTCCTGGGTCCCCTGGGGAGGAGGGGAGAATAAGGCATAGTTAGAAAAGTCAGGTGAATATCTGGGGCTTGCTGGCGCTGGTTGCTAGGATGATTCCATGGTGCCCAGTGTCCCCTGCCCCACATTCAGCTCCTGCCCTCGCCCCTCTCTCTCCACAGTTCGCCATGTGGGTGGATGCTGTCATATTCGTCTTCAGCTTGGAGGACGAAATCAGCTTCCAGACGGTCTACCACTACTACAGCCGGATGGCCAACTACCGGAACACGAGCGAGATCCCCCTCGTGCTGGTGGGCACCCAGGGTGAGTGGCCTCCCAGATCAGGCTTTGGAGGGCAGCCCCGACTCTGGTGCGTGGGTTTGCAGGTGTCTGAAGAAGGCTGCTTCGACACAAGGTGCATTTTCTACAGTGAGCACCTGAAACTGACTTGAGTGTTGCTTAATTCAATTCTGTGGAAGGGCAGCTTGGTCAGCAGCCTTTAAACAACTTACACACAAAGAGGCATAGACACACATAGGTGCACACACAGATGCACATGCATGCGCACACAGGCACACGGGCCAAGTGCTTTTGAAACAGTAGGCTCGCTTTCCCTTTGTTTTCCTATATTATTTTACTTCTGTCGGAAACAGGTTCTAAGCGAAAAGCATTCCTGTTTCCACTTTCGGTGCACCTTTAATACCGATTTGCAGTTTTATTTCTGTTCATTGTTTTTGTTTTCTTTGTCTCTATTTGTCAGTGTCTTATTATCTCATGTTGCACCTGGCAGGTTTTCAGCGTGCAGAACCACACCAGGCACAGGTTCCGTCCTCTTAATAAAGTGACGGTCACACACAGTCTGATTCAGCAGCCTTGTGTTTGATCATGGATTCTTGATTGCACTGCTGTTTACCATTGAATTCTTTTTTTTTCTCCCTCCCCTACCATGAATTCTAACCAAAATGTCACCTAGATTGTTTCTAAATATTCAGTACAAGCCACTTTCTAATGTGGCTTTGGGTTATTTCGTGATTTTTTTATTAGTGCATGTTGGCTATACATAGTAAATCTATTCCTGGTGGGGAACTGGTTTGTGTACATAGTACATCTTCAATCTTTTATCTCCTTTCCCTCCCTTATCATTTCTTCCTCCATCCCTAGATCCCCTTCCATCTGCAAAATGTGGATTTGCCAGAAATATGGGTAATCACGCCTTCAGGCCAGGCAGGTTTCCCAGAGAACCAGAGAAGGTCTGTGTGCCTGCAGCGCCCTCTAGTGGTCACCAGGAGACAAGGACGCCCTCTGTGTGTTACAGATTTCAAATCTGAAGATTCAACCAGCTTTTTAAAAAAAAAAAAATCTTGTATATTGAACATATACAGACTTTTTTCTTGTTATTTCCTTAGCAATACAAGATAACAGGTGTCAGCAATTGCTGGGTTAGGAGTCAGAAGTAGCACAGAGATGGTTGGGGTACATGGGGTACACGGGCTTAAGTACTATGCCATTTTCTGCAAGCTGTGGAGCAGCCATGGATTTTGCAAACCAAGGAGACCTGGACCTGTCTCCTGTGGACACCAGGCGAAGGCACTGGCTGACCTGGTAGTTCTCAGTGAATGATTTAAAGTGGGTGTTGACCCCATTCCGGCTCTCCTCACCTTGGCCTCAGAGGCAGAGAGAGTGCAGAAGTCCCCATGGCACCTGTCCTGTGATCCTGGCCTGGCTGTTTTCAGGCCATCAGTGGAGACCACATATGCAAGAGTTCAGGAGGGCCCCCCCCCCATCCATGGACTTGCTGTGACAGGTACCACCGATAGAGCAGCTGCAGGACTGTGGGGCCCCAGCCCCAGGTAAAATGAGGCTGAGGGATACTCTGTGACCGCTGTTTTCCAGGCATACTAAAGCCCTGACCCGCACACCTGCCACCATTCCCCTCTCCCCACTGGTACTGTGCCTTCCCTATTCATGGCCTTTCCTGCGCCAGGCTGAGCATTGGCTCTGCAGAGCCCAGACCTTTGCTTTGTCCCCCTGGCACCCATGCATGTGGACCATGACCAGGGGCCACTGCCAGGCACTGCAGGGCATTCGCTGAGGCAGTGGGTGACCGGTGACACTGCAGGCTGTGCCAGGTCGTGGAGCCCATTTGGCAGAGCTGGTGACAGGAGGTGACCATGACCCCTGTCCATCCAGGTTCCCCCTCGCCAGGTTTTCTTCCGTACCCCTGTTCACTCCAGCTCCTTCCTCCCGGCGTTCTGGACATTGCATTTTAGCTCTTTAGCTCCAGAAGTTCTCCCCTCAGCACGTCCCGCTCTGGAGCCCAAGCCTGTCACTTCCGGGGAGGGAGGAAGCTGTTGACAGAACTCTGGATTTTCAGAGGGGTGACAGCTCTACTGGGTGAGGGGCAGTAGTAAGCAGGTACCCGCCTCCCCAGGAGGACGTAGTCGCCCGTGCATATCATCACCCAGGCTCCCCTTCCTGCTCTTCTGTTGCAGACGCCATCAGTTCCACGAACCCACGGGTCATTGATGATGCCAGAGCACGCAAGCTGTCCAACGACCTGAAGCGGTGCACGTACTACGAGACGTGCGCCACGTACGGGCTCAACGTGGAGCGGGTCTTCCAGGACGGTAAATATGTACCCAGAGCACCACTCTGGCCTCGGAGCTTGGGGGGGGGGGTGCCTCACCTTGGGGTGGATGGGTGGCAGGGGCCTGGCCCAAGGTGTGTGTGCCTGGGCACTGGCACAGGAGGCGACTCTCAGTTCTGTCCCACTTTAGCAGTGTGTTCAGGAGAAGCAATTCTCATTTATCCCTGTGTGCAGTGCGGAACGATCACGTTCACTGGGGGCCATCGGTGCGTGCGCCTCACCTGTCTTCACTCTTTTCCTTTTCCCGTCTGCTCTTCCTCCCTCCCTCTATCCCTTGCTCTCTGTCCCTTCTGAAAAGCAGGACACCGGCTTGATGATGCTCCTTCATGGGTTCTTGTCCTTCCCCATTTACTCCTTTCCTATGCAGAGGTTGAACCTGTCTCCACTCGTTCCCAGATCCCCGCAAGCTTCCACGGGCATCTCCTTTTTAATCACTGTCACTGCTTGTTCCTAATCCAGCCCAGTCTCTGCTCTGAGAAAGGTTGTAAACATTTAAGATTAGGCCATGAGGAAAATAAGTTGAAAGAATGGAGAAGGCAAGTCTGGACCCTCACCATCCCCCCAGTAAAACCCCACAAAATAAAAAGGGCTAGGATTCAAGGCCAAGGGCAAGGGACCAGCATTAAGGCATTGTTTTATGCTGTTGCATTCAGTATCGAGCCCCACCTCTGGGCACTGCCACAAATCAGAGGAGTGGGCTTCTCCAGGAGGAGCCTCAGGGTGAACCTCAGGGATGCGGTACCAGCTGTGGGTGATGAGGGGCACCTGTGAACAGGCAGGCGGGAGGGGTGGTCTCCTGCCCGGCCTCTGGAAGGCCCAGGGGAAGCCTTAGCTTTGGAGTCTGAGTCTTGGGACTGGTGTCTGGGCAGAGGGTTCCATCTCTGCTAAGTCTTGGGAAATCACCCCTGGACTCCTCCTGTTGGGTTTAAATCTACAGTGGCAGATCCCCTGCTGTCCCCACCCTGGTGCCCAGGCATTGTGTGGAGCAGAGTAAAACAGGCACGCCTGAGCCCTCCCCTAGGGTGTGCACTGGCCTGAAGAACGGTGGCCACAGCTGGTTCAAACAGTGCCTCTCGAATGCTACTGCCCCTGGCCCAGCCTCTTAATAGCACATTTAGCCACAGACGCATGAGTGGGTGACTTTACCGATGAGTACAGCACCCCAAATCCAGTCACCTTCCAAAGCCTCACCTCTGACCACAGCCTTTTAGGGGACAGTCCAGGTTATAACTGTCTTGGTTGCTGGGACAAAATCACTGACACCCAAAGTGAAGGAAGGAAAGGTTTATTTAGCTCACTATTTGTGGAGGTTTCAGTCCATAATCAGCTGGCTCCAAAGTAGGGTGACGTGGCACATGGGTAACAGTTCAAGGCAGCAGCAAGAGCAAAAGGAACAAGAGAAAAAAGAAAATAAACCCCTTGTCCTTCCCTATTATTTTACACAGCCCCCCCCCCCATCAGGATGGATGTAGCACTCACAAAATCTGTATGCCCTCCTCTTCACAGGATGAGGATATTTACAAAGTAGCTGCTCTGCCTCCCTGCTAAATCCCTTAAATTTTGCAAATTGACACAATGTATCACAAATTGATGCACTGTGGACAAAGGTCCCATACCAGGCCCATGGTCAGCCATGCCTGCCTCTCTTGAGTCCAGCTGCTCACCAGCTGTGACTAATGCTGCACGGCCTGCAGAGTCTGTGGCCTGGCCCTGTCCCTCTGCAGGGTTGCTGGTCCCTGGTAGAGGTGACCCGTGCTTAGGTAGGGGTGAATTGACTCTCCTTCAGGACCACTTTGCTTACTATGTGATTGTGGTCTGCAGACATGTTCTCCACAAATAAAAACTCTTGAAAACAGTGCTAGGCAGCTGCAGAGTTATGGCGTTTTTTCCATCGTGCCAAGCCCATGAGGAAGCAAACCTCCGAGGGCTGAGAGTGCACAGAGCTCATGTTCACCTCTCATCGTTCTGAAGCTGTGGCAAGCAGAAGCACCAGAATGACTATCAGGATCTGGAGACAGATTTATTCACATCAGCAGGCACCAGTCGGGATCTGTCCTGGAATATCAGGCCTGATCTCGGTGGGCTAGGGCTTTTGTCTGATGCACAAGGAGGAGGTACGGGGTGGGACAGAACAGCCCAGAAGTTCTCCGATCAGCTGGCAGGGTGAGATCACTGCCCACAGGGGTGGATGAGTGATTAGCTATCAGCCGGCGTCCTGCATGTTCAGTTACCACTCATGACTCGGGTCAGGACAGTGATCACAGAGCTGTGAAGCAGTTACAGAACTCGCAGTTTCGAGAAGAAAGTTTTAAAGAATTTCTCTTGTGAAGTTTTTCCCTTTTGCTGCGAGGCCTGGCTGCTAGGCCTGTGTCCCTCTTAACGGCCTGTGTCCCTGTGTCCTCATGGCAGTGGGTGGTGAAGAAACCTACTGTCTCCTCCCTTTCTGTAAGGGCACTCATCCTATCCATGAGGGAGCCACCCTTAACCGCCCTGTCCTCTCCCAGGAGAAAGGGTCTCCACACACAAACTTGGGCAGCACAGCACTCTGGGAGGCTGAGGCAGAAGGATTATAAGTTCGAGCCCTTCCTAGACAATTCAGCGAGACCCGGATATGAATATATTTTTAAAAAGGATTGGGGATGTAGCTCACTGTAAAGGATCTGAGTTCAGCCCCCAGTACTGGGGGAGGGAATTTGGGATGACAGATAATTCAGACCATATCACATTGAGAATGCTTAAGGCTTTTCGCAGCATTAACCTGTGACCTGGAAGCATTTGGTTGTCCTCTTCAGGGTGGGGTGCTGGCAGGAGGAGAGTACTGCTTCCAGAGCTCCGTGTTTAGTATTTAGGCTTGGGTGTCCCTGCCCTGATGGCCATGTGTCCCTTGCCTCCACATCCCCTGCTTAGTGTCTATTTCCAAGGCTTGAGCACCTTCCCTTCATGATATTTCTTCTTTTAGAAATACATTAGATATTTGCATTTTACAGACTGGGAAGGAAAGGTCCTATAATGTCTGGCCAACATGGAGTTTTTTGGTCCTTAGAACATTTTTATTTATGGTAAGGTAAGTTTTTAAAATGGGGGTGCCTGAAATATATCTTCTATGTATGTCAGCCATGAACTCTTCCTGTTGATGAGTAGGTACTATGCTCAGTGCTTGGCCCTCCTGCAGAACAGTGGCCCATTTTAATCCCCCCATGGGGAAGAAATAACTCGGAGGATTTATGATTAGACAAATTGAGGATCAAATAGTTAGGTGTGTTTGACCGAAGGCCCAGATCCTGGACTGAACCCCACTCCCGGAGCCCGTGAGCCTCGGGGCCATTCTGTCATCACAGCAGCAGCAACAGCAGCCTCAGCCAGGTCCTTGGGCCTGTGGTGGCCCTGCCACACACCAGGGAGTGACAGGGCTACAGGCCCCCAGCCCATACCCACCACTGCCTGCCTCTGAGGGTGCCCTTGGAGGCTCTGCCTGCCTCTATCCCCTGCGGGTTTGGTTTTGCTGTCATTGCTTGATGGCCGAAGTATACACTGTGTGCACGTTGTGAGTAGCCTCAAAGAGGAAGAAGCATGCTGGATGCTACTCCGAGCCCTGACCCACACGCCCATGTGTTAGGACATCAGATTCTTCCTCCTGGCCACTGCGTGCCCAAAGCAAAGGTAGATTCCAAGACTCGGCAAGAAGCACCTCTGTTTGTCCTTCCTGCATGCCTTTTGGGGCAGCTTCGGCAAGGGGCCTTTGGGCAGCTTTGCAGGGAGGGTCTCAGTCCTCAGAGACCAGGACACTGGCACCAGCTTGGCTCTGGCCCTGGGGCAACGCTTTGTACCAGGGGCAGCTGGACACACAGGTAGCTCGGGAGCACAGGGAGGGCCCCTCTGCCAGGACAGACAGACACTAGACAGTCACCTCCAAGAATCAGGGCTTGCTGCTCAAAGGTGAGCGCATGGATCGAGCAGGCTGCTCTCCTGCCATGTGGGGTGCCTATGTCCCAGTCCCTGTCACTCTCTTCCCTCCTCTTAGTGGCCCGAGACAGTCTGCACATGTCCTCTGGTGGATCAGTAGGCTTAAGGGTGGGTGACTGGGTTTGAGTAGGTGTCACCGTTGTGCTTCCTGTTTCTGCAGCCCAGGAGCTGCTGCCCGGATTGCAGTGGCCCTGGCTGGCCGGATGCTCAGGCTCTGACAGCCGAGGCCAGCAGAGGGCCTGCCTCACTCTTGGTCCACCACAGCTGGAACTCTGTCTCAGATTCTCCATGCTTCTGTTTGCTGCTTGTGAAGTCTGAGAGATGAGCTTTGTATTTTTAAGGTTTAATGGTAATTTCTGTGTTAGTGTTAGGACAGTTTTTTTTTTTTTTCTTTTTTCTTTTTTAAACAGCACTTAATTCTGTAGTTCAGACTGGCCTAGAACTTACTACATAGTACAGGCTGACCTTAAAATTCACAACGATCCTCCTGCTTCAGCCTCCCGAGTGCTGGGATCCTAGGTGTTAATGGTTAAATGATTTGGAAGTTTCTGGTCATTTCTTCTAGGGCCTGAATGTATGGGATGAAAGGTTATAGAGGGATTCAGAAAAACAGTTCATTGTCTGCAGACCTCATTTCTCTTGCTAAAATTTTGCTCTTTGGAGACGTTTCTTTCACTCACAGTTTATTAAAGAACGGCTCCCTGGGTGGGAGACTGTTGCTGGGAGCTTGTATCCACAGTGGCATTCTGCCCAACCACAGCAAGGTAAAGGGTAGTGCTGATGAAATTCACCTAGGAGTTTGAGGGTGACCTGGAAGAGCCACATCGCAGCTGCAGAAGTAGCTTCTTCCTTAAGACTGACCAGTGGCCAGGATCATAAAAGCCATGTGTGTGCAGGGGTCACGCAGCCCCTTTGAACTTGCCATGTGTCATCTGGAGAGGCCTTGGTGCTCCCGCAGGGTAACTCCAGGTGTTGGGGTTTGGTGATTGTGATGTTCAGTTTCCTTTTCAAACTTTG